GCCAAGACACAAATTATCTCTGCTGAAAGGAGCTGATAAAGCCAGAGATGCTCAATTGCCTGTAACTCAAGAAACGGAAGTCCAGGCATCACAAAAAGTGAGACAAGTGTATGAACAGATATTTGAGCTTGTCAAGAACAAGCAGCAATGAATGCTTCATGCTGGATTCCTAATTCTTCAGTCCTTGCCAATAAATTGCGACCCAAATGCTCTTATTTTTCTTATTTAAGAACAAACTATAGCTCTTATAGTATGAATCATCTTAGAGAAACGTTGGGAAAGCATTCTGGTTCATTTCAGCACTGTCATCTATCTGTATGGTCTAGTTCTGCAGCAGGAACTTTTCAAAGCAGTTTGCAGGGTAAACAGAAGACATCCTTGAAACAGCTCTTGTGAGGATATGCACATGGTATCTGTTCATCAAAGAATGATTATTAAAGGCTGAATACTGAGCTTTAGGCACAGTACATTCCTTTCCTGAAATGTATTATGAAGACAAGTATCAATATTACACATAGCATCTACATCTAAATAATATAGAAAACATGATTCAAGGAAACACCAAATATTGCTAGCGTCTCAACAGAAGCACAGTTACATTTGAAATTTGCCAAAATCTAGAAGAAAAGAATTTTCTCAGACAGCTGTCGGCTGTTCTTTCAGTTTCTCATGAAATAATGCATTTGAAATTGGAAACACATGGAGAACTGGAAACAGTTTGATCCCTAACAGCTTACTCCCTACATTTACTTTGAACGAGCATGCATTAGCTCTACCGAATTCAGTAGAGCAACATCTATGCCAGGTCATTTTTGATTTTGGTAATTATCACATGGGGACACCTACTGGAGATGTACAAAAGTTGTTATACTGGAGAGGTGTAAGCTAAAAGAGCTTCCAAATGACTCTCAAAAAGGCACAGTTTCACTATGACCCCATACAGTGTTCTCCACTTCAAAGTCTGGCTGTTTGTCTTACAAGGATGAAGTTTTATAAAGTTCACTAAGAAAATCAAAAATGCAGTCTGGTTTAAAATACTCTCTCCATCACTATCCACCTTGTATAATCTTCATGATGTGACAAGCACTAAAATATTCAGTGTAGCTGTGGGGCAGGATAAAAGGCACGTGAAAGTAGATAGAGAATTTATGGACACAAATGCTAGGCAGTAACAGTTCTGAACAGCACATGCTCATTTGTACCTTTGATTTTTTAACTGGATACTCACTTTGTGGTTTGAACAGATATTAAAGATGTAAGAAAGGGAAGCAAGGCAAGCATCAGAGCAATAGGAATAAAATGTATGGTTTAACTATGCCAATGAGAAAATACAGACAAATGCATCCCCAGGAATTATTCTCACTGAGGTCCATTCACCCTCATGCAAGGATATCTGATGCAACCCTAGCATAAGCCCTTTTTAAACAGGGATAATTCAACGTGATACAGTTACTCAAGATCTCGTTCCAGTCCTCCTCCATGCACCCTTCAGCTGGGTGCCCCACATCCCTCTGCAAGAAAGTGCAGAGAGGGAAAACAGCCTGGCATTCACAAGGTTGTATTCTTGTTCCTGCTCTGGTGCTGCCATAACTTCCAGGGTGTACAGGGCTCTTGCAGCATCACAGGCAGATAATTCTTTGTATGGTTCTGAAAGTTTTGCTCAACATAATGTACTTTGTTGTTGTTGGTGGTGGTTTTTTTTATGAGTTACTCTTTTAGTTCATAGATAATTAATTAAATTAAAAATGCCATGCTTGAATGTGTCATGTATCAATTTTGAAGACTTAATTATAAGAGTGAATTAAGCTTTGATTAAGCTTTTCTTCTGAGAGCAGTAGCTGTCATTCTCCTTTGTGTTAAAATAAGAGAATCACTCTGGCTCAGTCTGCAAAAATGCCACCATATTATTTATTTCTGACAACAGTCTAGAAGTCAGGCTTGTCTGAAGACAAAAGCTGTAGGTACAATGGTCATTTTCTACATTGTGCATCCACAGAGAGCCATGGCATTATGTTCTCCCCGCAAAAACTAGTAGAAAAGATCAGTGCAAAGTGCCAATAACAAAACATTTAGAATAACATAGTTAGGATCATTTTGTTGAAGGAAACTGACATTTGAAAAGGAAATAGTTTGTTGTGTCAACCTGTCTAAGTGCTGTAATTTCTATTGTGGTTAGGGGGTTGGGTTTTCTGTGTTTTTTGTGTTGTTTTTTTTGGCTTTTAGGCATGATGAGATTGTGTGAAAATTGCAGAGACTCTTGCACTTAAATTGATACAGAAAAATCTAAGTAATCGGAGTTAATTAGAAATCAGGAAATTTCAGAATTGGAACTCTGAAAAACAAAGCACTACTACTTGAATGAATCCTAGCTTGAATAGAGAGGAGGAGACTGAAAACTGTTCAAAAGAACATGATTCTTAATTTGCATGTTCAGAAGATACCTTGGAAATATGCAACTGCTTGAAATCCAGCAAACTTATGAACTCTACAGGTAACCTGCTTCACCTATTCCTTGTATCTCCATGAGACCAAAGCATATATAAAGTGGCAGGTGATATGTTCTCAGGCACTTAGATCTTTTGAAAGTGCTCGACACAGCACCCAGTAACAAGAATTAATCGTCAGCAGGAATAGAGGCTTAGTTTGAACAGAGACTGAAGGCTACTTAATAGGGAGGGAAACAATACCCACCGAACAGGACCGCTTTCATGGAGTGCACATGCCAGTCATTCACTTGGACAGATTCCTATCACCTGAAGCTCTGCCACCGTTATATATTAGCTTAAAACTGGACTAAGGTGCTATATTTAATTCCAAAATCATAATTAACAGCTTCCCTTGTGTTAAAGCAAATTCAACAGCCCCATACTTTTGCCATGGAAATGTAATCCAGTTGATGCCAAACAAATAGCAAGAGCTTCTGTTATTATTCATATTATCACAGCTATTAAAGGGCACCACTATAGTATTTAGAGAATGGAAATTTAGGCTCTATTTATTACAAAACCTACACTGTTGCACACAATGCTTGCCTGAGATAGTAACACCAAGGAAAAATAGATGAGAAAAGGCAAGCATTCTTCATTTTAGAGACAGCAGCAAAGGCAAGGAATCCAGTAGTTTCATACCACCTAAATACAGTCAAACTAATTGAAATGCCTCAGTTAAGAATACAGAAGCTTGAGGCTTTTTGTATACTCAAGGGGAAGAGATCGGTACACTGCAGATCTTAGGAGGGCTGATTAGCTATGAAGAAATGCCACACTTTGCCTACTAACTATTCAGGGAGCCGCAGGCAGCAGCGTGACTACTTTGTGTCTCATTAAATTTCGGAAGTTAGGTTGGATAAATCCAAGCCAGAGAGGTTAGAAGACTTGTCCAAAGTTAGAAAGGGTGACTTGGCACAACAAAGAATTGAACCCAAAACTTGGGAATCTTGGACCACTTTGTTGGTCCTGAATCATCTCTAATACCATTAGCAAAACTGAAAGTACATAAAACTGAATTTAGAAATATCCTTGACTAAATGAAGCTACAGTTTGGTAAAACCTACACATGCTGAGAATCCCAAGTATACATCTACTTCCTAAAAAACTCCCATAGGGAGCAATTGCAATAATCCATTGTTTCTGCTCTGAATTGCCCCCAGGAAAATATAGAGTGCCTCAGAGCACAGGCAGAGTTTCGATACATTTTTATATTTGTTGATTGTCATGAGTTGAGCCCTTACAGCTCAACTATACCACGGAGAGGCAGGTCACGCCATCAGGAAGGGTGTAAGTGTCCATTTGTATTCTGCTATTTCTGCATCAGCTTTTTTGTACCAGAAGGAAACTCCACGGAAAGTGAGGAAAATAATGAGGTACAACTACACATCCAAAGCATACTGTCTCTGAGGTGCCTGGAGTAGATGATTGATATCGGCAAGAATGAATTGACACTGTCTGTAATTGATGCCTTTCTTAGCAGTTTTTTATATCTTCTCTTACATTACTTTTTTCCTGGAGTAAGTGTCAGGAAAGTTAACCCCACAATCACACAGATTACAGAGACAGAGGAAGTAAAAAAAAATAAATAAATCACAAGCGAGTATCAGGAAGAGTTAACTCATCTGTATGCAACCTATCCAAACACTAACATCTTCTTAACTGTCTCAACTATTTGGATTATAACCTTCTCAGGACATGGACAAACCCCCATTCTGAAACTGTACAGTAACTACTACAGTAAATTCAGTGTCTCATCAGTACCCACAGCTGCACTGAAATATGTATTAATAAGAACCCTTCAGTTTCACACCAGAGGCCTAATCCTAACAGTCAGTAAAATGACAAGGTGCTTCACCTAAAGCCAGTAATGCATTTCACTCTATAAAACAATTATTTAGTACTTTAGAGAAAGGTGATGGACAGTTTTCATTAATCTCTTTACTCTCCACAAATGTTTGCTTGTGGTTGAAAGAGGGAATTGCTAGATGAAGGTCAGGACTGCAGGTGTGACTCGTCCAGCAGCTGCAAATGACCCATAATACTTCCAGCCAAACACTTAATATTCTAGTCAACTAGAAGAAACAATTATAGTATAGAAAGCTTATGACAGAATTGGCTTTGCAAGATTTATATTTAACAACCCCAAACAAAAAGTTACATAGGAAGTACAATACATCATTTCTAATTCTATGCATACACTCCCCAGAGCAGCTACAAGAACACAGGAACGCAGGATGTGCCATATCAGAGCAGCTGATGGCTCTATCAAATCCAGCATCCTGCCTGCATTTCAATGATGGGGGAAAGCATGCCTTGAAGTCGTTTCTATTATAATTTTTCAAGGTTATGAAGTACTTTTGGATCTTTCTGAATGAGAAGTGCTATGATAAATATTTTTACTATAAATACTGATAAATATTTTTACTATATGCATGCAGTTGTAATATAGTACTAAAGGGAGACAGGTTATGGAGTGCAGTTAAAACTCTTGCAGCTGAGAAGAGAGTCATTTTCATTTTTATTTTCTTTAGCAAATAAACCAAGTGGGAGAGCCATGAAATCATTCTAAACATTATTTAGAAATATATTATTCTTGAACGCAGACTTTGAGGCAAACTGATCTGAATACAGTGAGTCACATTGGTTTTTAAATTAAAGAAATTAGTGAGAAATTAAAAATAACCCCAATAATATTGGTGCCTACTTGGTCTTCTTAGGTAATTCCCAGCTTTCTTTGATTTGTGCACATTTTCAAGCAACGTTTGGGTTTCCCCACACATTGCAACATCTAGCACATACACTGTTCAAATTCTCCACGCCAAACTCAGCACCGAGCCGAAGGGCATAGCATACATGGTAGAAAGAGGTGTGAATTACGCACCAGTTTAGTCTCACTTCTGCATTTGGCCTTATAATTGTAATTCTATACTAACCACATTAAATGAAACGTGTTTCAAAACGCCAGGTGGAACCAAATCGGGCAATACCTTGGGCAGGCTTTGGAAATATTTATTCAATGGAACACGAGAAGAAGTATAGCGGTTCACATTCTTAATCCAGTTATTCTAGTGCTCTGTCAACAGAAGCCATCATTACCTGACACAGAATAAGGTTAAGGAAATCCTCCCATGTAAAAAATATAATTAGAATTCTCAGATCCCTAATAAGTGATTTGTAAAAATGCCTCACCCCAACTCTTTTTACAGTCCACTTTGAATTGTTCTGCTTACAGATGTCCAGGGGCTGCCAAACACTAGAATACAAAGTCCAAAGCAAGTAATAGCACTTGTGGTCTCTGTTCCTTCACTTACATTTTCAGGAGTCATGGTCAAGTTTTTTATTTACTATATGACTGTTTATCCATCCTTTCAAAAAGATCATGAAGGGGTTAATGTAAGAGTTTGTTGGGAAGACCTTCCTAATCACCACATAGCCAGAGTTATATAAATATTGCAATACTCCGGCAAACATCTGCTGAACCTGATCACTGCAATTTCAAACCCTATTTTTTCCTGTCTGCCTTGAAGGAAATATCACAACAGTACAATCCACTTTCGAGAGCCCTTTCACTGATTTTTTTTTTCATCTTTTTTACTTCTTCATTGCACAATGCTATTCATCTCAGAATTTATCCATTTTACTTTTCCTTTATTATACTGTTTCACTTTTTTTTTCCTGGCACTGTCCCTTCTTCCTTCCCTTCAGTCACAAGGGACTCACATTTATCAGGTTCCTGCATACACATTTCAAACTTAATCAGACTTTAAATACATAAGGACCTATATACATCCAACTTTCTCCTGCAGTTTTATCACAAAGTTTATATGAAACCATATTGTAGCATTGAGGGTAACTCATTCAAGATACTTGCTGTTCTTGTTTTACCATGAACATTTTTGTTCTCTATTTTTTCCTCTAGTTTATTATCCTGCAAAATTACAGTTTCCCCTACCGCTACCATCCCCTCACAACTCTCTTCAGTCAAACACTTTCCATTCCTTGTTTGAATGGGATTAGTCGCTGTTTTGCAGGTAGGTATTTTGCATTCCACTGACTCCAGTATTAATTTTTATTGTTGTCAATGAGACCTCCACAAATACATTAAAGATCTATGCAGAAACTAAGCCACAATAGCAAACACAGACACAACTTTCAGATTCCATAAAGAAAATAAATGAAGCCATATAGGAGTTCTGACAACTTGATAACACAACATATCTACCCTGCTCAGGGGATGGAACTTGAAATTATTTTATCTGGCAATAAAACTGACTTCAGTTTTCTTCGAGCATAGTCAGGCACGTCGCACCTGTACCCTCTGCAGAAGACAGTTTATTGGTATTTACAACATAATATATTAGTAGTCATAAGCACAATAGTAATAGGCTTGGAGTTCACTGATGCTGACTGGAACACACATGGCATACTTTCTAATTAAATCATCCGTACAGACCAACACTAATTAAATCTGATAAGCCATGTGAACAGGAGGCACTTATTCGCTCTATGGGACACATGAAAACAACCGCACCTTAAAGATTCAAATAAAAGTAAAAATACTTCTTTAGCTTTAAGGAGAGAGTCCAAAATGTGATTAGCCTTTGTGTAAACTTTTGGATGCTGATTTGAACCTGTGACTCAAAGAGGCAGAGGCAGGTTAAAGATCTTGGCCAGTTCTGATTTTTCTGTACTGTTTCCTCCTCTGAAATTCAGTGCCCACAGTGACCCAGCCATCGCTAGTACCAGCGGGTGGAGTGCTGCTGAAGGAGGTGAGGCTTCAGAGGTTGACATTTTCTTCAAAAAAAAAAAAAAAAAGCTTACTTTTTTATTACAAAGCACCGATTCATGATAATGCTTATCTCATGTAATTTGAACTTCGATTCTTCTAAAGGGATTTAGAGGAAACACACTCAGTTTTTTCTAGTTAAAGAAAACATTCCTGTAGAAAGAAAATGTGCAATGTGTTATTGGCTTTTACCTTAACCTTTCTGAGCTCTGTTTTCCAGGCTCTTTTTCATTCTGTCTACACAGCACTTCACCTCATGCCATCCCTGTGTTTTTCCTCTTTACCTTGTACCTTAAGGATATGTTTTCACTTAAAATAAATTCTACCACATTTGAGTTTACATTTAAACACTTGAAATTACATACAGTAACCTTAATCAGTCTTTATGCAGAAATGGCAGATTTATCACATGATAGAACATGACACTGGATGCCAGAAAGTCCCAGCTACGATCAGAGAATGGCAGCTTCTTAGAATTTGGCAACAAGGGAAAAGTAATGGTGTTGTTAACATGAAAGCTGAAATCCCAGGGCTTTGCAATGACTTAATAATCATTCAGGAAGTAACAGAATGAATTTGATTTTTCAATGAACAGGTGAATTGGATTTTTCAGTTCCTAACTATGGAATGACTTCCAATGAGGTCTTTCAGTTAAACTCACCAAAAAAAAAAAAAAAAAAAATCATATCTAGAGTTGAGGAGGGATATCAGTCTTGAGAAAAATGCTTTGCCTTTTGTTGCATCTCTAGAAAACTCTGCCAAACTGAAGGAAGGATGTTTTACATTTTCCAATCCAGCAGTACGTGACTAGTTCATTTCAGTCTCGTTCCCAGGTTCTAGAAAAGGAGCTTTCTAATATTATTGAGGGACAGAACATGCAAATTCCAACCCTTACTTAAGAGGTTAAAATCTCTCTGATTTATTATAGATTTACATTCTATTCAATTTACAAAGTAAAGCAACACTCCCAGCTGCCTCCCACCTTCATTTGCCAAGCATATGATGAGAAACTTCATTGCCTTTCCTTCTAAAATGTAACCGTTTTTCCTTCAGTGCGCAGGGGGGATAGGGCCCTGGTACTCAGAAACCAGCCTGACTTCTGCAAAACAGTCTAGGGATTTAGGATTACAATAAACAGAAAACTTGTATTATACAGTCAGGGCAGCTATGAAATCTCAGCTACCTGCCGTCTGCAAATTTGCAACTTTTAGTTGGGAATGTTTACTAAAACTTTTATGTGTTTTGGTTTCCCTGTGGGGTGGTGTTATGATTAGTTCTATCTGTAGTACTCCAAACCAAACTCATTTTTCATTCTGACTACAAATGGTGCTCACTAAATACCAATTTGCAGAGTTTTCATTAAGGCTGGGAACACTAGACCAGCAGTATTTCAATAGAATATAATTTCCAGAACACACGCTGCTCCTGCAAGTAGACAGCTCTCCCACTGGAAATACAGGAGCACCAACAGCCCCACTGGAAATCTGGTTTCTATTCGACTTAGCAAAGCACACACATGGTGTGAAACAGGCTTTGCTACAGAAAGCTTACAAAATAGAGAGGAATTAGGAAGAAAGCAAGCTGCAGAAAATCAGGGGACTCAGTCATACTGCTAGAAGAGAAGGGAATGAAATTCAGATCTGTTCGCACAATCCAGTGCATTTTCTAGAACCAACTCTTACTCTAAGCATCCAGCTTAGCACATGATGCATACTAACAGTCATCCTTCTCACACATTTTTGGCTATGTTTGGCTGCTTTGCTTTGTACTCTCCTCTTCCCATGTGGAATCTACAAAGTCAGTGACGTCTTTAAAAACTGTGCCTCCATATGGCTGAACACAGCCTAAACATTTTGGGTGCTCTTATAAATAAAAATAATTATTTAAGTCTTACTGATTAACGGATTAAAGCTCCTTTTGTAAAGAGGTCTGGATGCAGATTGTATTTTTCATGGACTAAATCTGTTTGAATCTTTGGCCTTCAGGGACCTTTCTGTTTATTAACACCATTTAGCATTTTCTCAGCTTTTAACGCTCTGTTGTTTAGCTATGCATGACATACTTCCAATGGTAAGTTAGCACAGCAGAACAACATGTTTTGCCTGCCTTTTTGGATCGTAAATATTTGTACTGCTTGCTATCAACAGCTCTCTGATTCTGTACCAGGCTGTGTATATAAATATATATAGAGAGAGAACTAGATATAGAACTGGATACAACATTTATGAACAAATATATTTAAAGAAACATTAGGCAAAACCAATCTCTGTATAATAAGTAATAGAGTCATTTGTGTGAATGGACAGGTCATGAAACAGAAACATTCAGGAGGTTTGTGGTTAAGGTACCCACATTAAAACATTAACTTTCATCCAGAGTGGCAGAAGCTGGCAGACGTGATTTTGCTTGTACTAACTCAATAAAGGCAGGTCAAACCCAGTTAATAAATCAGACATCACAAAGTGGCATGCAGTTCTGGTGCTCTGAGAGAAAAGAGGCGCAGAGTGAGTTTTACTCTTCTCTGTCTCTCAGATTCTTGCACCTCTGCCTGCTGTCCTCAGAACAGGGAGAAAAAGGAGGGTCTCACCCAAGCTCATTCCTTGTTGCTCACATTATGATAGGACTGATCGAGCCCATTTCTTGAAGAACTCAGCTTGCTCAAAAAACTGGTGGCCATGGCGCAAACTGACAGCAAACTCCTTGGCAGGCACAATGCAATCAACCCTTACAATAGGGCCTCCAACAGCAGCCCAGTTACTATTAACAAGTAATGACAACTTAATCCAAATGGCTTAAAACACACAATTGGACTAATATTTAAATCACCAACTACTAAATGCATTACTCACCTCTCTGATGCCTAGTACTCATTCCCCTTGCTGAATAAGTAACAGTACTGAAACAGAGGGGACCAATCGATTTATCTTTGCAAAAGCACAATTTCTCTACGTGACTACACTGACTCCTGGGAATAGCAGCTGCTGCAGGATTTATGGTGACGTTTGCTAGCTTCTGAGTTACACCTGCTCATTACTTTGTTTTCCCTACACTGAAGAGAGGCGTGATAGATTTTTCTGTAGTTAAATTTGGAAACCATATGATCCTGACCTCTCATGTCACTGATTTGAATCCAAACCCTTTTTTTCTGATTTATTGAGAATGGAGTCAGACCCAAACACTGAGCAACTGCTGACCACCACCCCACTAATAGCTTACTACGTCATGGTATGGCAGAAGTATATGTGGACTGGTATGTCTATACAGGACACAAGCTGTTCAGCATAGGCTGTTTTTCACTTCATTAACAGCGGGAGACTGGCCAAAACTAAGTTAACAGTCTATACATAAATCTGCTGGACATAAAATATGCTGCAGGGCTCATTCGGCATTTTTTTAAAGGTAACATTAATCACATCTGACAACAGACTATTGGTGTATTCTGTGAACACACTGGGGAAGGTACAAGGTCAAGAGTCCTGTGGCTGGAATAATCAAAGATTTGGAAAATTTGCATTCACGGTAAGATTCATCTAGTAGATATATACATCCTAGGTGAAAAAAATAACAAATGTGGGCATGCTGAGCAAGTGGGAAAACATGTCATAACCAGTTTAAAAAAAAAAAAAAAAGAATTACATAAGGGGTTAGAAGGGAACAGTCAAAAAGGAAAACTAAATAGAACGGTAGGATTCAATGCCCCTCACACACATAGACTGCAGACTGTAATATACTGGAATATTGGCTTGGAAATTCTGCACATTTCCCATAAAAATGAAAAAATATTCTGGCAAGATACCACAGAACATATTGATCAGTGAGCTGCATTAGTTTTATTTTTCACTATCTCCACTGACTGCAATATGGCTTTGCAGTGTGCATGGATTTCACTTATAATTCACTTCTTATAATATTTATAGTGGACAAATTTGGGATACATAATCACATTTACAGCTACTGGGACTGCTGACGCTGAGGCACAGAAAACAAAGGCTTCTTCTGGATGATAAAGGGAAGGTGGCTAAGGAGAAGGGCACAAACACATTAAATCAGCGTTGCTTTACAGATTCCCAAATAGATTTCTCCACTGAGATGAATGGGCAGTTAAAACCTCCCAAGCCATTGTTTTTTCTAGGCTAGTCACTAGCTGAATAAAATGTCACCTATTTGGCTATGTGCCTCATTTAGGTTTCATTATTATTTTTTAATAAAAGCCAACTCAGTGTTGCTGTTATCTGACTAGAAATTTGAACAGTCTCAATATCTGCAGTTGGACAAAACCAGCAGAGATGAACTTGGCAAGAAGCAGCACCGGTTTCAGAAGACAGGTGTTAAGCAGCTTTCAGCTGGTATAGAATCCTAACGATCTTTTTCACGTGCTTAAAATATACATATACATGTATAATCTGGGTAATATTTGAAAGTGTCCAAAGACCTAAATATATGTGGATAACATTAAAAACAAACAAACAAACAAACAAACAAAAAAACGTTTATTTGCTACAGATGGCATCTATAGGTCCCCAGGTAGACTTACAGATTTTGGCTATAATCTCAGAAGCACCCAGGGGTGCAGGTACACCAAACAGAGCCATGCTAAATTTGAGACACTCAGATTAGTTAACACCATTCATTGTTGCAGAAGTAGCCCTTGAAAGAGAACAGCCACTTCCCTGGGGTCAAATTAGCCCAGGACCTGCACCATAACTGCACAGTCCTGGGGGCAACTCGCTCAGAGCCAAGTGAGTTACGACTGCAGAGTGCCACACTGCACAGTATTATATCTGCTCCAAATAGCTTGGGAGCTGCCGAGATGACAGACTGCCTGAGATATGGCTGAAAAATAATTAAATCTGAGGTAATCAAAAGCAAACATTTTCTCTCTAAGAGTTGCAAAGAGGGCTTGGGGGTATAACCATTTACTTGTTTTTCTAATACAGATTTTGACCATGGCAGCAGGTTCAGCTGTTCCCTCACCCTCCTGTCCTACACCATTCCCTGGAAGCTCTGC